GCATCGGCTTGAAGAGTATTGTCGGATAAATAAACTGGATCTCAACCCATCTAAGTGTTCCGTAGTCACTTACACTAGAAAGCGCACTGTCCATGTCACTAATTACACTTTAGCGGGTCAGCCCTTACCAAGATGCACTACTATCCGTGACTTAGGCGTCCATCAAGACAGCAAATTGGTTTTCGGTACACATATTGATGCAATCGTCAAAAAAGCCTCTAAACTGCTTGGATTTGTAATGCGTCTTTCAAAAAATTTCACCGATGCAAAGACCCTTAAAATATTATATTGCACTTATGTCAGGAGCCAGCTGGAGTATGCGTCTCAGGTATGGAATCCAAAATATCAAAAATATATTGACTGCATGGAAAACCAAAATATACCATACCAGTCTGCCCGTTATCTTGAACTCTGTAGAAAATTTCATCTATTACCATTGGTAGATAGACGCATATTGCAGATTGTCTATTCTTGTTTAAGGTTCTTAACGGCAATGTGGATAGTCCAGAACTATTGTGAGGCATATATTATACCTATTGTAAGTTCTATCTTGTATTGTCTTTGTACCAATGTAACCATTTATAATATGTTATTCTATCAAATATAGGCCAGTATTATTCGGGCATCCACTGGTTTCATTTCATATAAACACCGCACCTTACACTATTATCAAAAATCAAATTTAATGTACCTAATAAAATATTTAGATTTAATCCACCTTTACACGTATCCCGTTCCTCATCTAACTACAGGCAGAACAGTTACATTATGCGTGCAAGCAGACACTTTAACAATGTTTGTAAGGAATGTGACTTCTATCCGTTTACAACTAGTGTGAACTCGGCAAAGAGGTGCTTAAGCCTTAAATTTTTTAAGCAGCACCAGATCTTTAGTTTTTTTTTATCGTTTCTCTTGATCTGTTCATAATCATATTGTCTGTACGGTCTGTTTCAATATTTATTTTTTTCCATTTACGCAGAATGTATGTATTTTTAATATTGTATAGTACTCACACCATATTAATTAATTTATTTCAAATGTTAAACGTGAGGACTTGTTATTGGCTCACTGTTACCTACGCCTATTGTTATTTTTATTCATTTTTATATGCTGTAAGTCCTCCATGAATTATAAATAAATAAATAAATAAATTACATGTCAGCCAATTCACAATGTCACTTAAAGTATCATTAATGTCATTTTCAAATGTATGTATGTCAGTTGGAGAAAATACAGCAGTGCTATCATCAGCAAAAAGGACCAAAGGAATCTTCACAGCTCTTGGTAAATCATTTATATAAATAAGGAAAAGCAAAGGACCTAAGACACTTCCCTGTGGGACACCATACGTAACATCTCTAGGGCTTGATTGATACGGAACTTCCGCTTTGAGAGAGACTTTATGTAATTCAGTTATTTGGAGTCTCTGGGTAAGGTATGATTTTATTAAGCTCAGAGCATTACCACGTATCCCGTATTTATATAGTTTCTCGAGCAAAAATTTATGATCCACATGGTCGAAGGCCTTTGTCATGTCCATGTATATAGCTATTATTGGTGTTTCATTGTTCATATTTTTGTAAATCCTAACAAGAAGATCGTAGATAGCCGTATTAATAGTCTTTCCCTTACGAAATCCGTTTTGTTCACTGGCAAAAAGATTATGCTTGTCAAAATAGCTGTAGATGCAATTATAAATAACTTTTTCAATAATTTTTGAAAATATTGGGATCAAAGCTATTGGCCTGTAGCAAGATATATCTTCCCTTTTGCCCTTCTTGAACAAAGGTTTTATGATTGAGATTTTTAACTTATTGGGAAATATTCCATCCTGGAAGCAAAGATTAATCAAGTGGCTTAGAAGAGGACTAATGGATAGTGCAACATATTTTATAATTGACGTTGATATATTGTCATATCCAGTACTGTGTGTATTTTTTAAAGATTTTATGATTTTAAATATATCATTTGGAATTGTAGGTTTTATAAATAGAGAGTTATAATTATTGTCAATCAATGTCAAAGTTTCCCTATGATGTCCTGATTGGTGCTGGAATGTCGATGGGTTTTTAGGTTTTACAAGATCAACAAAGTATGTATTAAAGGCTTCAGCTATTTGTTGCGGATCCGTTATGGATTTCCCATTTACATCAATTCGTAAAATTTCATCTTTAGGAGCATTATGTTTTGTTGAGTTAATTATCTTCCAGGTTGTTTTAGTTTTATTATTGGATTGTTTTATATTGTAGTCATTTTGCGATTTTTGAGTCAAGTGAATTATTTGCTTAAGCCTTGAAGAATATTTTTTGAAGTTATTATAGTCTTCCATATTAGAGGATTTTCGATACGACCATAACATTTGTCTTTTTCGTCGGCAGCACTTGGCCTATACCCTTTGAGATCCATTTTGGTCTTTTGTTTGGTGTATTTTTTATCTTTATTACAGGGAAACAAAGATTATAAAATAACTGAAAGTGGTCAAAGAAAGCATTAAACGCCTTTTCTGCATCACTTTCGTGAAATATGTCAGAAAAACTAAGACTTTCCATGCACTGCTTAAACTTTTCTTTGTTACTGTTGCTCAAATCTCTTCTGAAGGTATGCCACTGTTTGATTCGACAGGATTTTTTAACTGGACATGATAAAATTTGTGCTGTATGGTCCGAGAGAGCAAAGTCAATGATTTCGTACCTGCTACCCCTAATATTGTTGATAATGTTATCTGCGATAAATAAGAAATGCTCTATAATCCTATAGAGCATTTCTTAAATAGTTCACATCACTCCATCATTATTAATTCAAATAATGAGTCACATGAAATAATGGATGAATCCACCAATTAAAAAAATAGACAAACAAATTACCTTGTTTTTCACCAGCCCCTGTATCAGGCTTGCGTTCCTCAGCAGCCTCAGTCTTCTCGCTGGGTTCATGGTCGGCCTTCTCATGTGACTCGAGGGGCGCCTGGTCCTCCGCCACGTACGTCCCGCAGACTATCTGTATGAGGCACTCCAGGAACTGGTGCTCCTCGAACCACTAACAACATTACGATCCATCAATGTCTTCCAGTATCACATGGCAACCCACTTGGACCATACGTCACTGCTATCACGAGCCGCAATATGTCGTGAACCTACTGTCACATGGAGCACTCTCGTGTTTGGATATTTTCTATATTAATACAAAGTATAAAGGCAACAACAAGTGACATGCCACCAGATTACGTTTCTATGATAAGTCGTGTACTGATACTGGTGCAATACAATACAGGTCACGACTGTCCGCCATTGTGGCGGCGGGGTGGACGCACGACTGTCCAGCTCCACTACAATAACTACAATCGCAACAATATTAATCGAAGCACAAAGTAATGTGGCAAGAATAAATGATACACATTGCACGCAGGTCGTGTACGAGCTGTACGTGCGTCACTCGCGTCGACATACACTACGCACCAGCCAGCACATCATAACAAATTAATATTCTATTCAGTAGGTGAATTGATCTGATCGATAATACAGATCTTACACTTGTTGTTTAGTTAGTGTTATTATTGAAGTAGCCTTGAGCCATACCTCCATGACAGACTTCTTGAAGAGGTCATCGAGTCTGATGAAGTACTTGAAGGTGTCTGCTATGGCGGAGGTGCACATGTGGCGGAGCAGGTTGGGCAGGAAGTCTCGCCGCGACTTGAAGAAGTCCAGCACTCGCAGGCACACTATGTGGTACAGGTAGCAGTCCTGGGAAGCATCCGCAGCAGTTGATTACTTTGTATTCATATAATGCTATGGTTACACTTAAACGAAATAATTCGTCTTCATGTTGTCACAATAATATTTGGGTTAGATCCGTGATGCCTCATTGACAGGATGCCTATTCCTTGGCGACGTGTTGTGGCAAACCTCTTTGGGTGTTCTCACGATACTGTAAGCCTAGCTTGTGAGGTTGCTTTTCTCTTCCCATGTGTTACTAGTACATGATGGTGCAATGCAGCTTGCTTCAATAAATTATCATTACTAGATAAACAACTACTTCAATGTACTGTGAAGCAGTTAATGAAAGATTATTAATGTCCAGCGCTTATAATAAACTAGCTACTTCCGCGCAGTTTCACTCATTCTGCTCGGCGCCTATTAATCGTAGCGTGATATTTTATATAGCCTATAGCCTTCGTCGATAAATGGGCTATCCAACACTGGAAGAATTTTTGAAACCAGACCAGTAGTTTCGGAAAAAAAAAAAACTCTTCAGCTTCTTTAAATAAATTAAAAATATATCCAAGTTACCTGTTTGGGGCTCCTTTCTAGCAGCATTTCCACAGTTTTACTAAAATATGAGGCCAACAGTGGGTTGAGTGGGGGGTCCTTGTTGATGAAGTCACAGAGCCGGTTCATCTGTGTGGCATCCATGGAGAGCCGATCGCTCAACATGGACAGGTGACTGGTGAGCACCTCGCATGCTATGTTGGCATGTCGGTACTGTGATGCAAGCTCTACATTCTTAGGAGGTTCCTCCGTTATGAGGGTTATCAGCTCCGCCAGCACTTCGGGCTTTGTGAGGCTGAAAATGATCATGTACACATTTCTTATATTAAGTGGATAAATATGGAATACAGTGCAGTCTACCCTCCACAACCACCCTACGCAGCTAAGGATAATCACTAATCAAAATACCTATACCCAGTAGTATTCTAGATAGAAGCAAATTGTATTGTACACAGGTAACAAAACCAAACTTATTGTTTTGTTGAAGAGTCCTTACAGCAACAATACATTAATTGTAAAGGGAGTTGACTTTTAGGGTTTCAGGATTAGATGAGATCAGCCCGACTTACAATATCTTGGAGACGTGGAGTACAATACATCTGCATTTAAGCAGTCATTCAATATGAAACACTTGCAAGTATGCATGAGTCACCAGCACCAGACACAGCACAGCCAACTGACGTGGTGACTGCTTACTGACGGTACTTACAACTGTATGAGCGCTTTGTTGTCCGCCTTGCATTCCTGCAGGATGTCATCCGCCTCCAACACTTGCGTCAACGTTACGTTCTGGAACAAAAAGCGCACTGCTCACATCCACAACACTTAGCAACACCTTGCTACACTGCACTGTAACTTCACTTAACACCACAAAGATGCTTTCCCTAGTCAAATAAACTTGACTAATTACGAAATAATACAATAATTCATGGTTTCAACCTCTCATAACCATCAATTTTTCAAGAAAATACGCACCTCTTCTTTGAGAAGAAAATTTAACTCCCTAACTACAATATAATTTCCGCTCCAAAACATCGTTAAAATGGTTAAGTACAACTCATGTATTTATTCTTAATCCATAGAATACAATTATTTAATTTATAAATTTTAGCGTTCTTGAGATTGCAACGATCCGTTTTCTTTTTGACAGTTATGTTGCTAGTGTTGCCAATTGACTTGTAATGAACTAATGAATTTGACAAAATAAGCAAGTTCATCTTTCAGAAACATCACAACAATCAATAGATTTAACAAATCTACTCAAATGAAAATGAGAAAAAACTAAATCTTATCATTTGTCTTATTGTAGTTAGATTTTTTTAAAATCTTCAACAGCCAATAATTGCCTACTGTTGAGCAAAGGACTCTTCTCAAAACGGAAAAATTTTGACCTTTGATTTGAGCGTTATTTACCACGCCTACTCAAGGCAGATTGGCGACATGAAACTTATAATTAGGCCCAGATTTCTTTACGATGTTTTTCTAATGGTGCGGAGTGCCTAAATCAACTTAGAAAGTACTTATCTACATAACAAATATAGGTAACTCGGACAAGTCAACATTGGTAAATACCGAGTTTGGAGAATGAGAAGCGGGGTCTTAATCATACGTACCTACATAACATCACGCCTTTTATCCCCGAAGGAGTAGGCGGAGGTGCATACAAAAGCAACACCCACTTTTCACTATTTATGTTATGAGTTGAGTTCCATGTAATAGGATGTGAGCTTATTGCTATATACCTGACTTAACCTGACACAATTCCAGACTCCGTGCTATTCCTGAGATTTAAAAAAAAACCACTAGTACTTTGCCCGACCCGGGAATCGAACCCGAGATCCTTGCCCGGCAGTCGCACTTGGGACCACTCGGCCAACGAGACAGTCTTAATCATGTGTTGTGAATTCGACTCCAGGTAGCGTCGCAATCGTAATCTTTGAAAATATTAGTCAAATAGTCTCGTAGTCAATGAATACATACATACAATATGCTGCCATACTGGTGGTACCTACCTGGTACTGGTAGTTTGAAACCGGCAGCCCAAGATGTAGTGCGGCAATAATTTTCCTACTGTGTTGTTACTGTTATTTGTCTGTTTAACTAATTTTTTATTTAACGAGACAGATATTTTAGAGGGGAGTTTGTGGTCACTATAAAATGATAATCAATGTAAAATATATTTCTTTATTTACAACCAGAACATAAGTTATCGTTTGGTTTGAAGCAGCTGCATAGCGAGTGCCTCTGCTTCGCTGACGGACAGTGAAGCCGAGATGTCCTGCACCTTCTTCACCTTCCGAGGAGGCACACTTGCCTGTGTCTCCAATAATTTTCGCTTTGTGGGCCTGTAAAGATTACACAAAAGATTATGTTGTGTCTTCCAGTAACTTAGGATAACGTACCAATAGTGTCCAACCGAAGCTTCGGCTTCGGCTTCGGCCACCTTCGACCAAAAAAGCACCTTCGGCCAAATCTTCGGCTTCGGCAAAAAATTTGCCGAAGGTTTGGCCGAAGCCGAAGGTTTGCTAGTTGTCAAAATTTGAAATTTGAAACTGAGAGAGCAGCAGAGTTTCGCCGCGCCGCCGCACCGGCCCAAACGAATCGCAGTTAGTAAACAAAACGAGTCAAAATAAGTTTGATCTAATCTTAGTTTGATTTAATCTTATCTTTGGTCTTAGAATCTAATAAGTGTTTTTAAATATTTGTTATTACAAATTATTTTATTTATTACTGTGAGTAACACCTGTGGTGATATATTCATTATTGTTGTTCAATATGTATCTAGTATATTCTGAGATCAATTCAAAGTACCTAACTATCGTATTTCTCAAGGTCACCTTCTTCGGCTTCGGCTTTGGCCGAAGGCTTTGGTGAATACCAATTAATCGGCTTCGGGTTCATCGGTCGGACACTACGTACCTAAAACTATGCTATAAGAAAATCTGTCAAAATAGTCAATATTCTCACCTGTGGAAATTTTCCTCTACTTCTGATTCTGAGTCATCACCAGATTCATGATTAGCTCCATCAGATACTTCAGAATTCCTGTCTTCACCAGATTCATAATCAGCTCCGTCAGACGCTTCAGAATTCCTGTCTTCACCAGAATCACCGCTGTTGTCACTACCCTTCTCTTTGCCATATATTTTATCAGGATCAGGTAGCCATGACAGGTCTGGGCCGTCGGACTCAGACTGTGATCCAAAGTCATCCTTCTCACCTTCATCTTCCTTCCTTTTATTTTTGAGTTTACGTTTCTTTTCCTTGTGCTTGGCTCTTGTACTTTCTCTAAATTTTACTTTGTCAATTTTGTCTTCGTCTTGCATTAGTAGTTGTGTTTTTGCAAAATGCAAATTTGATGAATTTGCACTCGAGATCTGTTTCAATATTTCTGGGTCGACATCCTTATTTTCTTCTTCATCTATCTCCCCTTCTTCTGTAAACTTCACTGTTGTATTTACTGTAATATTTTTTTTCAACAGTTTTTTAACATCTGCTACTTTTGTTGATTCTACTTGTGGTTCTTCAAGAAGTTCACCACTCAATTGTATATCAAAATTGTTTCCTTGAAAGAAATCTTTCCCATCTGTATCTGTGGCATTGTGGAAATCAAATTTCACAAATCTTTCTTTAATTTTTTGTTTTTCAGGTTTCTTTTCAACATTAACATCAGTGACTTCTTCTTCGCTTTGATCAGAATCTTCTTTATCAGACTCAGTTTTTGCTTTTAACTTTTCAATGACATTGTTGTTATCTTGCTTCTTCTGTGCATATTGCTGCTTCTTCAGGAACTTAATATACGGAGGTACTATCAAGCCCAGAGACCTTGCATATGAATCTGTGTCTAAAAGTTGTACATTGAATATTTCTTTGTTTTTCATTAAAAACACTGATTTTAAATAGCTAACAAAAGCTCTCTGTGCACTTTGCTTAAGCTCCATGCTGTCAGATAGTAGAGTTTCTATTTTCTTTTGTGGTGCAATAACTTTAGATGGGTCTACTTGAATCTTGTTAATGGGTATTTTACTATTTTGTAGATGTTCCACAAATTTCTCCTCATGTGGCAAGAGCATGAGTAACCCTTCCCCTTTACCAGTGAATCCTCTTGCAGTACGGCCCGCTCTGTGAATGTAGGTTTCTACATCTTCAGGACAATCCATTTGTATTACCCAATTAACGCGGGGAAAGTCTAGACCTCTAGAAGCTAAATCTGTAGCAAACAACACAACATTTGATTTCCTACAAAACTCATTGTAAATTTTTTCTCTTTTCTCTTGATGTAATGTCCCATACAGGGCCAGTAGGCTCACTCCAGGCCTTAACTTACAGAACAACTCGTATATATACTTGACTTGTTTACATGTAGCCATAAACACTATAACTTTCTGCTTCAAATGATTCTTAATAAAGGACCACAAAATCCCAATCTTGTCTTCGATCTCAGTAATGATGTAACTCTGCTGCAGCAAATCGGGAGTCACCGTGGCGGCTTGTTCATGTGGGGCTATGTAGGTTGGGAAGGACAAGCTGAGGCGTGCCAGGTCTTTGACAGATTTTGTTTGTGTTGCAGAGAATAACAATGTCTGCCTCTCTGGTGGTAAATTCTCAATTATTGCATTCATTGTTGCTTCAAAGCCCATATCTAAACACCTGTCAGCTTCATCTAGGACCAAGATTTGCAAGTGGCTGCAGTCAAATAGAGGGTTCTCATCCATGTGCTGCAGAAGGCGACCAGGGGTACAAATTAGTATATTTATTTGATCCATTCTTTTCCGTTCAAATTTCAAATTCTGGCCTCCAATAATGAGACCTGCTGAGAAGTCATGCAGGTGTCCTACTTTCCTTAAGGCTTCATATATCTGGTAGGCCAGTTCTCTGGTTGGTGATATAACCAAGGCACCAACACCATCTAGTCTTGTCCATTTTTTACAGAATAAATTTTCCAGTATAGGTATTAGGAATGCCAATGTTTTACCTGACCCAGTCTTGGCAGCACCCAATATGTCTTTACCTTGGAGAGCATAACCTATGGCTTGCTTCTGTATTTCTGTTGGAGTCACATAATGATTTTCTTTTAGTCCTTTAAGAGTCTTCTGTGATAGTGGAAAGTCTTTAAAAGTTTTTATTTCATCCGGGTTTATCTGAAAATAAAAAAAAAAAACAGTAAGTAAAGCTTTGTTCTGGATGTATACCTATATAATAAATATAAATATATGATTGATCCTGTTTAACAGAATCAGTGAACCGCGAAATTGAATGCCCATATTTTAGATGCGCCTCTGCCCACTGCCTTGGTAAGTACGGATAGCTTGCACAATAATTATCATCACCACACTACAAAAGGTTGTCATATTGTGTTGTTAATTTATTAATATAACACATGGTATTTATTTTACGAATAAAATCCGAAACCTTTAATGATATGAAATAATAGTAATTAATGGACATTATATTTCGAAGATTCTATACTGAATATGAATGTACCTTGTCGTACTGAGCCTGTAAATACTGTATCGCAGCATCTTCCTCTACACTATTTTTCTTTCTAGGTTTATATAGCTGTAACTTTTTACTTTTTTTGCCTTGTCTCTTTTGTTCTTTGCCGTCTTGTTTCATTATTAAATTTATATAAATCACTCAATATTCACTCAAAGTAAATACCACAGCATGAGAATAACACAAAAGGCGACTCAGCAAATAAGATTGAGGTTAACAATTCTTAATGTTGACAGTGTCAAATTATGATATTAGACCCCTGTCTTTCTGACATTTAGCGCCTTCCATCGTGCCGTTCTGAAACCAAAAACCGTAAAAATCTCAGATTTTGGCACTTCTTCTTTTTTACGCACCAACGTACATGTTATACATAACAATGACAATAATAATAAAAAGCATTTATTGCTGTAGAAGATACCAAAGGTGGCAATTCAGACAACTGTTTGCTTTATGAACATTTTATCGACATTTTGTATTCGTTGGAGACACATCCCTAGTCTCGGTTAAATAGATCGACATTACGCAGCGATTACGAACAACGCGCATAAACAATCGCAGCGTTGTAGTGGTAGGACGCGTTTGTAAAAAATCGAAAACTTTTACGAAAATAATTATTGCAACATAATTTTAATTTATTTATACCAAGTTGAAGTTCAGAAAAAGGTAAGGTTTCTTTTTCCTTTATGTTAATTATATTTTTATTTCATTTAAGTGTTGGTGTTGCTGTAGACAGTGATTGTAACGCAAGGGTGACTTAATATTGGAGATTTAGGAGAATCCTTTGTGTTGAATCATCTCACAGTAGGTAACTGAGACGCAACGGTTATGTTGTTTGTTTTGCGTCGTGTGTTGTCGGTTGTTGTTTTCTTTGTTATACCAATATAGGTAGGTGGCACCAATTGGATATTGGCTAGATTTCTTCGTCAATTCACTTTTCTGTATTACTTACGTATTAGACTATTATTTAGGTTCAGTAATGATTTAGATTTAGCAAAGCAACTAGGTACCTGTTCTCTAAGATTAATTAAAAATTAATTACAATACAATTTTGTTTTGCTGTTGAGAGACTGAGCGGTCTTCCTCTTCATTAGGTATTAACGAATTACCTATTTTAAAGATAGTAGGTAAGTAGTGTAGGACTTTGACTAATAAATATTTTGTATCTACCGACATTGTTCGTAAATCTGTTCCGACTTCCTCATTGTACACGGTAACAACTGCCTACCTACTATTACCTAGTTGCGGTCCGCTATTGTTAATCACGATTCACGCCACGCGTTTTAAGGCCAATATTGCCAACATTAATATTCCATCATCGTTCATGATGCTGAGGAAATCTTTTTTCGTGTGGGGACTGCCGAGTGCCGTATGCCTGCTTACTTCCGCATCAACTTAAGTCGATAGTTTTAATGTTGTTAGGGTCATGCCCCAAGACATGACCCTAACAACAACAACGCTCAAGCGTTGAGCCTAACTTTATGCGGCCTCGACCATGACTATCACAACTGTAAATACTTAATAAACAATACAAGAGAATAAGATTGGTTCCGTTGACGCATGCCTCAGACTTGATAACTGTTTTATCAAATTGATTATACAAAAGTAATAAGTAGAGTTGCATTGCATTTCTTTATATCACTACCTAACACAATCTGTAACTAATTTTTACGTTCCTACAGTAAGCCAGAAATATGAAGGGCGTAGCGGTTCTGCTGTGCCTGGTGGCGGGCGCCTGCGCAGTCTCCTTGCTCGACCTCGTCCGGGAGGAATGGAATGCTTTTAAGGTATGGAATCTCTGCCTGGTCCCTAGATCTTTATGTATTACATACTTTATAGTCGGATGTTACTATGTTGTCGACTAAAATATACTCTTATACATATATGTGTGAGAATTCGGTCTTTTGTTTATTTTAAAATTACGCGCTAATTAGTTGATAGACGATTTGAAGAATTGTTTTTATTTTTATGTTGTTATTGTTATTCAGGAAAATGATAAGCTAAAATATAAGAAAATTACACCATCTTTTTAGAGATAAAAATTAGCAATCCAATGTTTTTTTATTAACTGAAGAAGCCCTTAAAATCAGTTCGTAACTAACGTTGAAACTCATTGAGATCGAGAGTTAGAGTAGAACACACTAATGTTACTGTAATGTTGATATCGTGGCTAAGTTGGGTGCGTGCGTAGATGGAGCACAGCAAGCAGTACGACAGCGAGGTGGAGGACAAGTTCCGCATGAAGATCTACGTGGAGAACAAGCACCGCATCGCCAAGCACAACCAGCGCTTCGAGCAGCGCCTCGTCTCGTACAAGCTCAAGCCCAACAAGTACGCCGACATGCTGCACCACGAGTTCGTGCACACCATGAACGGATTCAACAAGACCGCCAAGTGAGTGCCGTTACATCGTCACAACTCGGCTTTACTGTTAACCACACTACATAATGTAAGAAAGAGCTAGGGACTTTTACTTTCGTTAACAATACCTGTTCCTTAGTGGATTGCATCAGTCGGATGGTACATTTGCCTTGACTTGACTAAGACTTGACAACATAAAATAAAATCGGGAATCTAGAAAACTGTAAGTAAACAACATGATTGTTAATGACATCCGTTGTAGGTAAAGCTATTATAAATATTTGTAATTGTAATTAGCTATGTAACGATGGTTAATTCGCTCGGCTGTCGTTATGTTACTAACAAATCAACCTAAAGTAGATACATGGACATACACAAACACGTGGAACATTTGCGGTGTTATTGTGTGCCTACAATCCGGCATGGGTTACTGGTTAAGTGGTTATTGCGTTGTTTGTCAAACGTTTCCTCGTAGGTCACATTGATAGCTTGCGAACGATCACCGGCAGTGATAACACTTCACTTGTGCTTACTGTCGCCTCCACACAGTCTCGTGACTGGAGTTCAGTTGTGAGAACTAATTTATACATATTTTGACACATTTCCTAGTGAATACATTGCATTAAGTATGTCATTTATTAACAGTAGGTACCTCAAACAACAATATGTTCAATATAATATTTACATTGAGAATTAGTAGGTATTTAAGGTCGATCTACAGACTCTGCTTTCAGTACATATTTATAGAACATAGCCATAGCTATATTAAAAACAAGATACACAACAAATAGAAAAAACATGGATTATAAAGAGCAGCGAGTAACAATGGTGAGCGTTGTCCATTCTTCTCCACCGGAACCCCTGTAGTATATAGGTACTTAGCTTCACTCCCCGCTGAGTAGGACTGTACTTTGACCCTATAATCTAGTATTTAACTTTAAAAACCATTATCGACTCGACGACTCATAAACTATAGAATAATGATTCATCTAAATTTGCACAATAGGTAGGCATCCAAATGAATAATAAGTTGAGGAAGCTTAGAAGTACGCTGTTTGGTATAGTATGATTGACTAAACAAATACTGAATTTAAATATGAACAAATGTAATGACCAACAAAGAACAATGAATAGATTGTGGAAATATATATAAAAAAGACTTAGATAGGAGATAATGGCAATAGGAGACATTTTGTCGACCACTAATTAGGAATAGGACAAGCAGTAACTACCGAGTAGAACTGTGTATTTATAAGATAATGTATGATGTGATTGCAAGTTGCAATATGTGGTCGCAGACACGGTGGACGTAACAAGGTCGTGCACAGCAAGGGCCGCGACGGTCGCGCCGCCACCTTCATCGCGCCGGCGCACGTCTCGTACCCCGACCACGTGGACTGGCGCAAGAAGGGCGCCGTCACCGACGTCAAGGACCAGGGCAAGTGCGGCTCCTGCTGGGCCTTCAGTACTGTGAGTCTCATTCCTTTGTTGCTCATTTCACGTCTCTCGTCATGACGTCACGCCCGACGTCCGATACACGTGACCATCAGCATCATTGAATTATACATGTATCTACTATTGTTATTAATCCGCTGACCCTCCCTTCTTGGTTGAGTGGGCACAAGGGTTCTAGGGTTCGATTCCCGGTTTAGACAAAAAAATGTCAATGGTGACTCGGGGGCTCCATTACATGGAACTCTTCAACTGACAACGCTTACCACCAGGCCAGGTGGTGGTAGTGTCATCGTATCAAGTATAAAAAAGTGGATGTTCATTTTGTACAGTGAAGGTACTGGACTACTGGATTATTGGTAGGAACATCGTCGCCAATCCTTTCAAGAAATGGAACGAATCAAGATATTATCAAATCGATATATTTCAAACAAAGAAACTTTTCAGCTTTATTGTATTAGCATAGAATTGACCTCCAGGCCGCGCGCCGCGATCGTATTACATACACGGTACACGTGCCAGTACTGACAAAGGTACAAACTAAGTGATACTCGTAGCTCGGGGTAGGCAGGCGATTGCAGTACAGTATTAATTAAATAAATAAATAAGTGGGGTGTTATGATAGTGGAATAATCTGTACATTTGTTTATTGTGGTTATCTAATTGTTATTGTTCGCCGGTCATGTGATGCCGCCGATAACTGGTATCGTATTACGCCGTCTGCCGCGTATCGGAATGTCCGCCCTTTCCCTAAGTACCTATCTGTACCTACTGGATACTTCACTGCGTCACGTCATTACGGGATAAAGCAAACTGAATAGTGAATGACTTGTTTATTACTCAGATAATAATGACCACACAATAATACATGACAACAAAACTATTTACCTTACTAACTGCTAGACGATGGGGGCGTATTATTATTATGAATCCTAGCGAGGGTCACGAGGGTCGACTCGTTGCCACTTATACTTACATCATATAATATACTACATATGTAAACAAATATTTTTAAAATGATGCAATGACAAACGTCGCTGTTATTGTTCACTTAGCTTGAAATTCAGGCTGCGGTGTACTGCGATATGTAATAATAAATAAATATGTATAATAATTACATTAGTCAGCCATCGAGTTGTGAACTCGTGATGAATCACGCTGATTGCCCGCCCTATTTTATCAATAAATTCGCTGCACACGCAATTTCATGTAAATTATTCAAAACATTACATTTAACACGTACTTGTACAAACCTATGTCGATAACAAATACCTCTATAATCTAATTATCATGTTTCGCAGGATTACAATTGTAAATTAGCTAAAATTATTTATTATCGTTATTTAACACTAGAAAACACAGAGAGATGACTAGAATACTTTCTAACTGATGGGATAATTTTCTAAAAGCAAGCTGGTTCATAAAATAGATCGGTATTAATACCAATTTTTCATCTGTTGCTACCTAGCTATTGTTTAGACTTTAACTCGTCGAGTACCGTCATTATAGACACAATTATAGAACAATAGGTTGCGGTCACCGGTGACCGCTTGGTGTTTGACGGTTTAAGAGTCCAAATAAGGCCCTGTCATAATCAAACAGCGGCCACCAACAAGTGCCACAGCTGTATTATATCCGCTGTGTAGCGATGTTAGAGTGTGTACATTAGTGAGTGTCTGTACCTGTACAGACGGGCGCGCTCGAGGGCCAACACTTCCGTAAGACGGGCTACCTCGTGTCACTCTCCGAGCAGAACCTCGTGGACTGCTCCGCCGCGTACGGCAACAACGGCTGCAACGGCGGCCTCATGGACAACGCCTTCAAGTACATCAAGGACAACGGCGGCATCGACACTGAGAAGTCCTACCCCTACGAGGCAGTTGATGACAAGTGCAGGTAAGGAGCTCCTCCCTCGCGTGGCAGCCACTACTGCTGGCAGCGTAGTACACGGTCCCGTTTATGTGCAGGTACAACCCCAAGAACTCTGGCGCCGATGACGTCGGCTTCGTAGACATCCCACAAGGTGATGAGGAAAAACTAATGCAGGCCGTAGCCACCGTGGGACCCATCTCCGTCGCCATCGACGCCTCACAGGAGACCTTCCAGTTCTACTCAAAGGGAGTCTACTACGATGAGAACTGCTCCTCTACTGATCTGGATCACGGAGTACGTGTTATCTTACCTGTTTATAGTGTATTCAACATTTATAGTGTATGCCAATGTAATGCTTTCATAAACTTGGCTGTGGGCACTCCAGTAACCAACCAGTGTTTCGAGCCCTACACCTTCAATCTCCGACAGCTCACTATAAGTTTTCATTTAACTTTTGCTAGCAACTGTTCAAGTTCTTAAGCTCAAGTCCAAACCGACCAACTGCTAGTCAATATTGTGTTTGCTTTTGTTGTGATTGACACAAAAGCCGCTATTTTGAAGATTGCGATAAACTTTACAATGACCTCTGTGAATATTTTGATAAATTCACTTCATTGTTATCGCTACCTACTCAATGTTTGGCCTACTTAAAGTTTACTGCTACTTATCTATCAAGTGCGGAATATGATCACGTTCTAATTTCGATATCCAACCCGTTAGATAATAGTAAAGTAATTATTAATTAAAACTAAGAAGTAATAACTTACCATTAGTAATTAATTTAATTGGTTTAATAAAATTTGACCTCAATTGTTAGCTAGACATTCAGCGAAACGTAGGTACTTAAGTACAATAGTAATGTATTGTTGTGTCGCAGGTGATGGTGGTGGGCTACGGCACGGAGGAGGAGGGCGGCGACTACTGGCTCGTGAAGAACTCGTGGGGCCGCTCGTGGGGCGAGCTCGGCTACATCAAGATGGCGCGCAACAAGAACAACCACTGCGGCATCGCATCCAGCGCCTCCTACCCACTCGTATAGACGATCTTAACATTACCCACCATGAACACATCCCTCAATCTCTACACTAGCACCTAGCAGTTCGACTGATGTAAATTACTAAAAATGTGTGTTCAATGTAACTTGCAATTAAAGATATAACTAACTGTATGAGAACAATGGCAAGTCAGTCGCCAGATGAACATTCCACGAAGTTGTCGTGTCTAGAGTTAAGTGTAAATTTATGAATAATATATAATTGTATTATGTTAAGTTAGCGCAGAGTAATTAAGTAAAGCAACACTTGTGATATTATAGTTATCATCTCGCGTCACTGTAGCGTTGTTAGCTGAATATAAATAACATATTTTATAACAAACATCTGGTTTTATTACGTAATGAAAACTTCAGTGCCCTGCTTTTATCACCCCCTACATGCACGCTATTATATTATGGAAATGATTACTTGAAAGCAGCTTACATGTCACATTCCCGCTACAGTTCCACTCATTATGATCCTCTAATTGTACCTTTTTATATTCCCATTTGTCTCCACTGGTGACATGATATACCCATGGTAATGTCGCGGAGAACCTAACGGGTAACCGGGGCTCCGTCTCGACGTGCAGGAGAAGGAACGGGGTGGTTTTTAGTCAGTAAGAGTCTGACACTCCCTCCCGCCTCACCCAGGCGGGAGCAGTCATTCGATGATTTTCCCCCCTTAAAAAAAAATACCCATGGTAATGGTATGGCAATAAAAATAGGAATGTGTCAAAAGGAGCATCAGGTACACCCAGGTACATACTTGGTACCCACAATATAATCGTCTGTAAACACAATCCGTCGTGATTATATCTTCATAATAGTTACTACTGACTAGATAGCGTGCGAGTGCTCGTCACCTTGACGGTTGACCACGCTATATCAACTTGCTGCTATGTAGGTAGGTAGGTGTACATAATTTTCCTCAACTCTCTGTTGTCATTATTATTTCCATATCGAATTATGGAAGGAAAAGTTTCAATAAAAACAAACACGATTATTAATTTAGAAGACTAACCCACTTACAACGGTATTATTAAGATGCCTATTGGTTTCAAATTAGAATAGAGGAGAGATGAATACAAAGGACTAAAAGTAAGTACCTACCTAGGCCCGAATTTGAATGAATGGCGTTTCATTATTTTCTACATTCTGCCTACACCACTGTAAGTTGCCTGCGTACAAGAAGCCTTTTTGTGTGTACATTACGTAATTACATACAAATACCTTCTCAAACAGTAGGTTAGTCATTAAGTAAGCGAAATACAACAACAACACACGATACGTGAGCACTGAGCAGTGTAAGCAGCGAGCGAGCCGGATACACGATATTATAATAGGATATTTTAAGTGTGGGAGAGCCATGCTTCGGCACGAATGGGTCGGCTCGACCGGAGTGATACCACGGCCTCACAGAAAAATGACGTGAAGCAACGCTCGCGTTGTGTTTCGTCGTGTGAGTGAGGTTACCGGAGGCCCAATTACCTTCCCCTTCCCCAATCTCCCCAATCCCTGAATCCCCAACGATCCTCAAACTCCTAATCCCCAAAAAGCCGGTGACGCACTTGTAACGCCTCTGGTGTTCTAGGTGTCCATGGGCGACGCCGATTGCTTACCATCAGGTGATCCGTCTGCTCGTTTACCGGCTTATATATTCCATAAAAAAAAAAAAAAAAAAAAATACACATTGTTCTTGTGGACGCTAAGCATTTTTTGTTGTTGTTACTTTTTATCTGCGAACAAATCGTTATTACGTCAGCCTATTTAAATATAATCATCGATGAGTTTTTGTAGCTTCGGAGTGATTCCCCGTACAAGTCGAAATGTTACATTATATAGGAACATAGACGTCGGTTACTATGTAACAACAGTGGAACCCATTGCGAGTAGTTTGCCATCGGAGAAACATATTTTACTGATGAGTAATAAATAGGTTACTGAAAAAAGCTATAAACAAAACTATATTATTTTTAACAAGATCTGGGAGTCGAACCCGATACGCCTTTGTTTATCACACTTTTAACCTTATCAACACATCGTGCGACAATCGAAACCGCGAGACGTTGCTCAGCAGTTGGCCATCCAGCCACCACGTCCTACGTCAATAGGGCATTACCATCATAGTTCGGGAGACTTATATAGCTACTTATGGTTCTAGGACAATAAAGTTGCAATGAAACTAGTGCTGACACTGATAAACACTTTATTTTTACATTATAAAAGTATCGCAGCGGCTGTGGACTCGCTGCTGCAGCTCTTCCATTCAGCTCGATGTGTCCCGAGTCCCGAGCTACCCACACAGCACCGCGCTCGTACCGCGCAGCTACGAGCGGCTAGCGGCTAGTACACTTCCACCTTATTTATATTTACACTACCTTACTTACTATACTTAGGTACTGGCGTTCGATAGACTAGGTACAAGTCGCTGCGTTATACAACACAACAATAGTTCGTTACATGACCGGGTCACAGGCCCCGGCGGCGATGAGTCGCTCTGTTTGCAAACTGATGACACGACACTCTTACCTTACAACTAGTTCACATCTGAGTCAACTAAATAGCTGACCTCAAACAAATGTTATTCATTACAAATTTATTCATTCACTGATTAATCAAGCATTGTTTTTATAGAAACCAGAGCAACTTACATCCGACACATATGCTAACTAGAGGTACGGGCAGGGGGCGCCACTGTGCTCGCGGGAAACCAACACAAACATATAATTTTATATAAACAAAATATCTACACGTGGAACACTTTGTATTCGTGTCAATTTCAAAAGCCTGCGCCTTTTCCACAATATCCGATCAAGTTACTGTTTAGCTGATACATTTTGTATGGTAGAATACTTCAAAATTACAACATAACATAGCATCACGCCTTTTATCCCCGAAGGGGTAGGCAGAGGTGCACATTATGCCACTGTACAATGTAGCACCCACTTTTCACTATTTATGTTATGAGTCCCATGTAATAGGCTACTTCAAAATTATCCATAAATTAAACTAACAGGGACATTGTGGAACAAGCCCTTAGTATCTCTGTGGGTACTGTACGTAGTTACAAACACGTAAATGTATAATTCTAGTTGAATGCCTAAGGCACTATGACCCCTGGAACTGTGTAAGTACATAAAGAATTCTCTGGACACGGTAAAGACTACGAGTGTACAGTAGAGCGCTGAGCATGTTGAGTTAATGTGCCGTGTGGACCAAACAAGTACTCCGCTGTCACAGTCCGAGACAAGTCATTTGTGTCGTCATACTAACAACTCCATGTAATACGTTACACAATATCATACGAATAATTATTTACAATACATTTTTGGCACTGATACCAGGTCAACTAAGAAATATTTACAAGTTCAGTTGAAGTGACCAGTATATTTCAACTGAATGTTACATTAGCTACGAACTAGACATTGACAAGAGCTTATATTAGTGCATTAGTGGACTGGTGTAGTGAGCCAGTAAGCGCAGTGTTGGGAAGGAGTGAGATCGGTCGGAGCCGGCCTTGGTCCGGGGCGGAGGGGAGGGCGCGCTTACTATTTCTTCTTGGGCTTTTTGGGGTTCCGAGAGCGACTCTTGGCCTTGCAGAGCGGACAGATGGGCGCGTTGCGGTGTATCTGTTGGTGGCACGACAGACACGACTTCATCGGCGGGGGCTGCTGTCTGCGGGGATAACCAATACTCAATCAATCAGAATATTTGTCCTGTATATTGAATTATAGAATGTCTGGAGAGTTGAGCGCTGGACTCTGTCTGTTTACAGTACAGCTCCACTTTTAACAGTAGAGCAGATTAGTTATCTTCTTCTTCTTGATAAAGTAATTTATTACCCAATACTTACTGAACTACTGTAGAAATAAAATGAAATCTTATGAATATAACTATGTTGAAACAAAAAATCAAATTATAATTGTTGAATGAAATAAAAATGAAATAATAAAAATAAATAATATTTAATTGGAATGTAAAAATGGGAGGTAGGAACTAAGGGAAGAGGTGGGGGATAAGGAACAAAACAAAAATAAAACATAATCGAACCTCAGCGAGACGGTAATGAAATCTTGGTCGAGTGCAGACCTGAACGCAGGCGGCGGAGGGGGCGGCTTGCGGGGCGCCGCCGGCGGCAGGAACCCGCCCAGCGCTCGCGGGGCCGGCGCCGCGCCCGCCGGCAGCGCGGGGAACCGACTGCGTACGAAACACGCTGAGCTTACTTCACACTCACAGCATACAATTATGTGACTCTAGGCTTCTCTCCCGGGGAGGGGACTTACTTTTAACTTTGCGTTAGTACTTTTTTAAAATAATGTGTAGGATAATTTAAGGCAAAGGCCGTCTTATAATAGGACATACTCGGGAGTGATCGGGCTGCCTTCCTCTTCGTGCAGGTCGGGCAGGCGCTCGAGGCCGAGACACTGTCGCCGCAGCAGGTCCACCTCGGCCTTGAGCGGCCGGTAGTCCTCGTGCAGCCGCGACGCGTTCGACAGCTTGCGTGTCATGCTCTCCTCCGTTTGTTTGATCACAGTCTCCATCTGTTTACAGTTAACAATATTTTGCATATAAGAGCTACAACTCACACCATTCTAGTACAAACAGCCACCAAAATACATAACTTGCGCGTAACTTGCACGGTAAATGAGGTTCATGGCCGCATTGACATATTTTCGTGCAATACGAGTGATCTAGTGAGAGTATTATTAAAAATATAAGTGCTTAAAATAATATGTTGCAATAGAATTACCGATCTCAAAATTGTTTACTCTCTCAAAAAAGTCTCAAAAAAATTTCTTTGTTTTGTACTTTAATAATAGTTTATGTTAGTAAGTAGATACTGAATAGGTGTTAAGTTAAATATCGTTTATGATTTATTGTGAGTATTTAATTTCAAGTGTTACATATAAGAATTTGGTTTTTATGATTCAGTTACTCAGTAGTTGGAAATGTCAAATAGTTAAATTTGTAGGGGAAACTTTATTGTATTAGTATATAGGTATGTATAAGTGTTAAGTTTTTAATTTAATTATAATTAGGTAATAAGTAATTACTAAAAGATGTGGTAAGACTGATGGCTACACTATCGTATTGGAATATATCTGTAATGGTAGTAGTTAGTGCATTAAATAAATAAATAAATAAAACTTAAATACATAACTTTTTTTTTTTTTTGCCCTCAGATCTACAATCAGCCGATACGGCTTTAATCAGATGAGATGACGTGCTTTTGGGACTTTGGAGAGTTGCACATCCTGTGACATGCTAACTCTATTTCTTTTTTCCCTAAAAATGGGTTTATGTAGACGCTAGTTGCTTTCTTTTCAGTCGAGATAAGCAGTTGTCTGAGTTTATGAGCTGTGAAGCCAGATGGTTAATGTGTCGCCCAAGGCGTTGTTTGTAAGACACAGATGAACTCTTTATTTCTTCCTTGACTGTCGGAATCTGCAGATATTCGTGCACCTCCGTGTTTCGTGTGAACCATGGTGCATTAACCAGTACCTTTAGCACTTTGTTCTGGTAGCGCTGGAGGATCTCAATATTTGAGTGGCTTGCCGATCCCCAGAGCTGTACACCGTATGTCCAAATCGGTTTTAGGATGCACTTGTAGATAAGGACTTTATTTTCCAAACTTAGTTTAGACTGCCTACCTATAAGCCAATATAGTTCCACAAACTTTTTATTTGCTTGGTCTCTTTTAGCCTTTATATGAGCCTTTATATGAATACATAACTTGTAAATATAACTACATTAAAGATATATTTTACAATCCACAATAGCATAGGCAGAGGTACCATATTATACACATCTCTTACATGTTGCCATGATAGAGTAGTAAAGAGTACTATTGTACAATAATTGTCAAAAAACTTAATTAATAGTAAGTAATTTCGGTTTCATTACTGGATTTTGAAAAATCCAGTAATGAAACTGAAATTACTCAACATACAAGGCACTCAACTCATCATTTACCAAGAGATTTACAGAAATTGCTAGGAATTTAGAGCACATTCACAAGACTGACAGGAAAAACAAACAGTTTAAAATGTTACAATTGTCGGCCAACAATAGCACATGCTTAAGTAAACAAACTCCCTCCTTCAAGTGGCCAGTATTAATAGCTCCGAGCCGTTACACCCAACTGTTGCTGTTTGTCTGTGCCCAGTCAGTCTGCTCATTCACACTGCAATCAACATGAAACTCTTGTCCTGGCAATTTATGACTTTTTAAAACACACCATACCGCATTAATGTCGGCATGTATTTGGCGCAGTTCTTCCACATGGCTCATCTTCTCTTGCTGCAGCAGCTCCATCTCCCGCTTGTACTGTGCCAGGCAGCGCCCCTCCTGGTCCCCGCTGCGCACTTCATTCAGGATGCTGCGCTTCATCCGCTCCAATGTTATTGTTTTATTCCTGTAATCAGATTCTTACTGGTCTATTATAAGTGAAACATAACAAACATTTCGATATTTATATTCCTAGCTCATCATCATTAACATCTCGTATATAGCAAAGGAAGAATAAATGAAACATACCTAAACTTATATCTTTCAGCTGTATTAATTACACTGTGGCAATGGCCACACTATTCTATCATCACTTCATGAAGCTATTAATATGAATCTCTAATAAAACACTTCTGAAAGAAATCCTATAGTGTTAATAATTGAACACCCTTGAATAATTCTGAAAGATTTAAGGATAGTACAAAGTAAACTCATTTCGAGAAGTTACATGCACAAAGGTCAACATAATGGCATAATTTACTTCAATTAACCTAATGTACTAGGTATAACTACTTTTTTAAACGAAAGCATTTAATCTAAGTCATTATTAAAAAATTGTATGTGCACATGAAGTCAAGTGTTTATTGATCGAGTCCACAGGTGCGAGAGCATTTTCATAAATTAGTCATGAATTAAACTCCATACCTAATCTCTTTCATGGCTTCCAATTTATGATATATTTCACGTTCGTTTTCAGCAGTCATTTCTTATAAGTTGCTATTATTTTATCAAACTTTCGGAAGTCACACAAGATACACAAAGCCAAAATGTCTCTCACACTCACACATTTGTGAGATTGATTGTCTGTCTGTATTCTGTTTCTGTGGTATTCATCTGTCTGTACTCTGTTTCATAAAAGTTCTCAGTTCACTAGTTCGGTCCTGTACATTGGTCATTCGTCTGTGGTCATTCGTTCGTTCGTATTCATATCATACCATAGACTACATTTACATCGATCAACTAATCAACTTCTAGACTTTTAGTCGAGTATACCTAATAGCATGTTTGTGTTTTTTTTACATAGAGTCTATAAAGGAATTATTATAACTTGGTTTAAATGGATTATTTTTCAAGAATAAAGTATTATTACTATTCACCATAAATATTTACACAGTGGTTAACTTTAGTAAGATATTAGATATGACAGCATGTTTATAAAAGAATTATCTTGTTTCTGGACTTCACTATGGAAATAAAAAAAGTATAGAAAGTAAAATGGCTGCTTGACCATTGATAGCGGCTTGCTGTCAAAATAGTGGAATCATTTTCGACGACGCGTCGTATACTTTATGTTGTATTAAAACAATCTGGATGCATGTTGTTAATTTGCAGACCGAATGAATTACATAGTTTATACCGGTGTTAACTCGAATATTACCTTGCGGAGGTCATTTACACCTTCGCAACAGGCTTCGTGTCGTGCCCATTGAATTCCATTCGACACTGTTTACTTGTGAAAATGAGTGAAGAAGGCAGTGAGGACTCACCACCAAGGCCTAAGCGCAAAATCAAAAAAGTGATGGTGCTTTCATCAGACTCTAGTTCGGATAGCGATGAAAGCGTCGCAGGAGCGGGATCACGTAGGAAGAGATTGAGGGTGACTGTCGCGGATATACGCCACACGTTTTCCCTATTTCTTAAACTGGACCGATTATTATAATATGCATATTTCAGGTGCTGAGTGATGAGGGTAGCGACAGCAGTGGTAGTTCGGTGGTGTGCGCGGGAGCTCGTCGAAAACGCACTCTACCTAAGCTGCGGGATTCTGAGGGCGACAGCGACACGTCAGGCTGGGCCACGGATCATTCAGACGCTCCCAAACCGACGACGGCAGTGAAACCTACTTCTGGCTTTGCATCAGATAGTTCTGAAGGCAATTCTGACAAATGCTCAATTTGCCTAATGCGTTTCACCCACCAAGAAGTAGGGACACCACAAAACTGTGAACATATATTCTGTCTAGACTGTATCACAGAGTGGTCAAGAAATGTCAACACCTGTCCTGTGGATAGAATGAATTTTGATTTCATAGTAGTGAGAGCCTGTGCTGGTGGTCGTGTACTACGTACTGAGCCAGTGAAAGTGGTGGAGCGCAGGCCTTCTGTTGATCTACTTGTCATTGAAGATCCCACTATTTGCGAGGTACTTGTTTCTTTGATTGCACTTATAATTTAATATTCATATAGACCTATATAATTAACTATGTTATTTGTGTTGCAGGTGTGTGGCCGCACAGACAATGAGGAGACTATGCTCCTGTGTGATGGCTGTGACCTCGGGTATCACATGCAGTGTCTCACTCCCCCACTGTCTGAGGTATTCACCTACTTAATACTTATTTTGTCTCCTGCAGTAGACTTATACTAGTTAACTTTAAACCGCCTTAAAAAATTGCAGGTGCCTGCAGAGCAGTGGCTTTGTCCCAATTGTGACAATCTATTAACAGATGTGGACTATATATTCTCTAGCATCACAGATGTTGATGTGCCATCTAGATCTAGTGCACTTGCCAGGGAGGGAAGAATTGTTAGATCATCAAGAAGTCATAGGAGTACAGATGAACCTTCCACATCTGGGTCCAGTGGTAGTCAATTGAATTTTGATGACATACCAACAACATCTAGAGGCAGATCTTCTCGATCAGCCAATAGTACTACCTCAAGAACGTCTACAGCTAGACACAAAACTACGGCTCATACAAATCGTAGAAGACCAAAGAAAAGACGAACTAAAACTGTCATTATTGAGTATGAAGTTCAAGAAAATGGAAAATTTCCAGTAACTAAACGAGTTAAAAGGAAACTGAAGAAACGAAAGGTTAGTATCATTATATGCATGTATATCAAGCACAGTACATGCCAGCCAGCCTTGTTACTACAGATCTCATATTGTTGCAAGACAAGACTGTCAGGCTAAATGCCAGAATGAGCATTACATTATGGGATTATCTCTAAAAATTCTCTTATTCCTGTGTATCAAACAAAAATATCTAATTGGAATTCAAAATCTAATTTAAAACCTGAGAGTTATATTAATTGCATTGTCGAGAAATGTGTTCACAATCAAAATGTCATGAAAGAACTATAGTATATCAATACTTATTAAACATTTTGTAAATAAATAAATAAGGGAAATGACATTCATAAATAATTCATTTTGAGTATTATGTTAAACTAGCTTTGTTGCCTGCAACTTAGTCAGCATACAATAATGACTTCTGGCAGAATTTGTCTTTTCCAAAATATGTATACTACAGCTGTAATAAATGTCGTCGGAATTGATTCTGTACCTAAGCTATATTTATTGCGAAATGAATTTATTCTCGTGGTTTCAAAATACAAACTATCCTAGTGCCATGAGTCTCGAGACTTTAACACATAGAGAACATATAGTTCCTGTTCTTGGGGATAAAAACTATCATAGATACGTCAATTTATAAAATGCAACTAAAATTGAGTTCAACATTAAATGAATAGGTTAGTTAGTAAGTGATATGAAATACAGGGCCAGGCTGTCTTGTGAGTATGTATGCAGCTTACTTCTGTTATTATTACAAAAATAATAATTGTTAGCTCTTGTTTTTGCATAGCTAGTATCCCATAAATACATACGGAAGGAATAGTGATTGTACAATTTCTTTATGAGAATGTGTAAAACATTTGTATGCAGTCAAAGAGACGTCAGCCGCGCACGGCAGCCCGGCGGTCGCACGTCCTCGCCAGCGTGCGCGCCAAGCTGGCCAGCGTCGGCGCGGCGCGAGCCGGTACAGGGCCGGCGCGGGCCGGTACAGGGCCGGCGCGGGCCGCCCTTGGCGGCGCCGGCGATCTCGAGCTGTCCACACGGCGCCAGCGCGCCGGGATCCCGTCGCTGAGTTTGTTTGGCAACCCTCATGAAATCGAATATTTCTCCGAGGAGGACGAAGGCGTCTCTGAAAGCGCCAGCACGGCGGTGGCGGCTCGACCGACGTCCAACATTCTTAGTGCATACAGACAGGTGAGTGAGCTGTCACTAGCAGTACGTGTGTGAGAATAATGTTATATATTACATTAATTATAACTTCTGCTTTTAGGCTCGAAGAAAGATGATCTCTATTCCGTCTCCTCCACACGCATCATCGGCTCCTGACGTTCTTTCTTCTATCCTCGAAAGTCAAACTTTACTTCATTCAAAAAAATCTGTGGTATCAATTTCTGTAGACGGGAGTGTAAATATAAAACTAGAAACCAGAGAAAAGTTACCTAAAAAAATGACAGACGAACCAAAAGAGAATAAAAAGATTGATATCACGCGAGGAGAGGACGCTGCCAAGAAAGTACCTTCGTACCCTGGACAATCCCGCGGAGGCCGAGGCTGGGGCGGCGGATACACCGGGAACTACCACCGCGAGCAAGGCTCCAGCAACCTGAACAACAGAGGTGGCAACTACGATAATAACTACAACTCCGGAGGTTACCAGAATCGGCAGGGGAACGCGTTTAGCCATAACAACAACGGACGGCGTGACGACCAGGACGCCTACAACAATTACTCGAGGAGAGTGCATCAGTACCCACAGGGCGACGAATCGCAGTTTGATCGAAACAGGAGACAACCACCCGAACAAAACAGAGGCCAGAACAATCAACAGCGCCACAATGATCAAAACCGATACAGCTTAGCACCGTCGTGGCAACCCTATGTGCCACCACCCGTCGGGCCTAGGAACGATCCTCCTATTCAACATAGGCACTCATTCGGAGGTTTTGAAAATCCCCTCGATATGAGAATGGGTCCAATTAGGCGACAGAACTCAGCTAATAATAACTCTGTAACACTCAACGAATCACAAAGCGTGCAACAGCCGGCCAGTAAGCCACAAGCACAGCCGTACCGGCCTCTACCCGAGCCACCGGTGTTTAACTTCAATAAAACTCCAGACCTCGATAAATCTGAGGATGAAAAGAGTGATTCTAGTTTAGTTATAGATACGGAAAAGTACGACCCCACGGAACCGACTAACGACGATGACAGTGGGGACGACGACACTACCACCCTGGCGGCCATCGAGCCGCAGCCCAGCGCTGCGCCCCCAGCGCCCCCAGCTTCCTCGCCGCCTTCGGTGGGCGCCAGTTCACTGGACGCCAGCTCACTGGGCGCCAGCTCACTGGGCGCCAGCTCACTGGACGCCGGCGTGCTGGACAGCGCGGTGCGGCAGGTGCTGCACGAGCACCGCGAGCTACTGGCGGCGCCCGCGCCCGCGCCGCCCAGCGCCAGCGACGACGACGACGAAGGCGACTGCCCTAACTTCTCCATATACTCCGCCACCAGCGTGCACATCGCCAACAACACGGCCGAGCTGCCCAGCGAGCCGCCGCCGGCGCCCGCCTCGCTGCACGACAGCCTGGAGGACCTGGTGCAGGAGGACGACGAGGTGCCCGACCCCGCCGAGCCCGAGCCCCGGCCCCAGCGCGAGCCCTCCCCCCAACCCACTCGCACCGAGACTGTGACGACCCGTTATACTACTGATTCTATTTCTAAGAAAAAATCAGAAGAAGAATTAAAAGAGAAAGTCTCGAAGCGTTGTCCGATCACTACTAATCCGCGCAATCCCATAAAGATAAAGCTGAATACGCCGTCGTTAATTAAACGACAAGTCAGTCTTTACGATGAAGATTTAGAAGATGAAGAAGAAGTGATCGAAGATAATGAGGTCACGGAGACCACGGAGCCCGACGTGGAAGCTCGAGACAAGCGCTCCAGTACCGACCGCGACTCCCCGCTCTGTGACGAGGAACTCTCGTCCGTGCCCGCACACGATCCTCAGTCGACCACTTCAGCCGAAGTCAACCACAGGTATTCGGGTACAACACAAGTAGAGACTCAAAAGAGTTCTGCTGAAACAGAGGAGCATGCTGGCCCTGAGTCGGAGGCAGAGCATGCAGACGTCGCGCCAGGCCCGGCGGCCGCGCGGGACCAGGACAGCCCGCGCAGCTCGCCCGACCTCTCCACCGACACCGAGCTGCCGCTACTCGAGCGCTCGCCCAGGAAGGGCTCTGTCGACAGAACTGATGAACTTATTGAAAAAATGACTGAATCTATTAGTGAAACGGAAGACGAACGCAGTTACACGCCGTGCCTCGACGAGAACAAGTCGAAAGATACATCTTTAGAGACCGAGAAAGAAAAAGGCATAGAAGGACTAGACACCGAAATGATATCTGAGGACGAGGGCAACGGCTTGTTTTCCGATAACGAGCGCGCGCCGTCCGAGCAGTCGCGCGGGTCTCCAGCCAAGCTGCCCACCAACGAGAACGAGGAGGGAGAGATCGTCGACAAGAAGAAGGAGGCGCGCGTCGAGGATGGCAAGAAGAAGAAGAAGAAAGAATCCAAGAAGGAGAGCAAAGACAAGGCTAAGACTAAAAGCAAAAAGGGAGAGGTCGCCTTTAAGAAACTTAGCAAGAGTGGCAAAGAGAGGAACTATAGAGATAAAGACAAAAAACGAGAAAGGCGAGACTCCAGCGACGGAGAGCGCGAGCGAGCCAAGCAGCGCCGCAAGGAGCGCAGGAAGGATCTCGAGCGGTACGACGTCCGCACCGTCGTGTCTGACAAGCGGCGCCGGCCCAAGGACGCCTTCGGACGCGACGTATCACCCCGCGCCCGTTCCCCCCGCCTGCCTCGTGCATCCCGCTCTCCCCACGCGCCCCGTGCGTCCCGGTCGCCCCGGACGGGGCGCCTCTCTCGTTCACCCCGTGCAAGCCGTCTGTCTCGCTCTCCCCGCCTGTCCCGCTCCCCGCGCATGTCCCGGTCCCCCCCGCGCCTGACACCAGTGCGGCGCGCCCGTTTGTCGGCATCTCCGCGCTCATCTCCCCGCGCCGCGTCCCCCGCGCGGGCGCCTCGTCGCCGCCGCCGCTCCACTGAGCGAGAGAAGCGAGTGGAATCTCGCAAGCGACGCTCCGCTGAACGTTCGCGAAAACGACGTCGATCAGGCTCTGGTTCTAAAAGTCCACGTTCCAAACCTACAAAAAGAAAAAAACGTATTCGTTCCGAACGCTCGGTCTCTCGACGTCGCTCTCCACGAAGGCGCAGTCCGCGTCGTCGTCGCGCCCGCCGACGCAGCGCCAGTCGCTCACCGGAGCCGTCCCCAGCAGGCTCGGGGGGCGTAGCCCCGGCCGCAGGCTCAGGGGGCGCGGGGTCCGTAGACTCACAGCTGCTGTCCCCGCGCCCGGCCCCTCCAAGGAAGTGTTCACATCGGGAGACAACATTCTCGTCAGCGTCAGCTTCAAGGAGCAGGAGCGCGCAGAGGACGATGAGCGTC